TAGGGGACACCACTTGCCTAGCCTGGGCTGCTGCCATCAGTCCTGAGCAGAAACGGGGAGGAGCAGTGTCTGGCTCTCGTTACCTGGGTGCCTCTGCAAACACATCTCCCAGCCCCAGACTGGCTGGTTGACATGAGTGGGTGGGGCCTTTGGGGCCCTTCTGAGACTGGAAGCTGGCACCAGGAAGCTGGAGCAAATAAAGAGGTCAAAGGGGTAGGTAGAGGGAGTAGCCCATGGGGGTCTCTTCCCTTGCAGAACTTGGGGTACATCAGTGTGCACACAGCAAGTCCTCACTTACCACCCTACCACCAGCACTAAGAGTGGAGGGCCTAGGGGCAGACAGCATTTTCTGACAAAGGTGTTGGGGTCAGGGAATGCCCAATGGGAAGACCCCTTCTCTGCTTCCCCCTCAGTGACCCAGGGTTGTTCATGCCACCTCCATCTTTACCCACCCTACCCTAGGCGGTGGAGGAGAAGCCCCTGTGTACCATCGGTTGCTTTTCCCTCCCCAGGCTGGCAATTTGTGCTCACTCCACATACATCCACAGGGCATACGCTCTGAGTCCAGCACACGCCCAGGCTCTGGGCTTCCACTGGCAAAGAAAGCAGAATGAAGCCCCGCTTTGAGAACCTGCCATTCAAGTGGAGGGGAGGTGACAACGAGCTCGATGTAGTAGAAATTTGAAAAAAAACTAAAGCAGGATGAAGTATGGGCGGTGGGGCGTCTGCATTGAACGGAGTCCTCAAGGAAGGCTCACAGAGAAGGAAAATACACACTTGTGTTGAAAGTTGAAGGTTATTTTTAGGGCCACTCAGGATGACTTTGCAGTATCGGTTCCTGTGGTTCCTGTGGGTGTCCCCTCCAGCCTCAACCAGGGCAGATCCTGCCTGACAAGCACTGTGAGCAAATGTGCAAACACATTTACAGAGGCACACACATTCACACACACATATGCACACTCACACATGTGCACACACATGCTTACATGCCATCCATTACAGGCAAGCATGCCATCCATTACAGACAAGCATGCACTTTCTTTCCCTAGAATCGGTAGAGGGCAGGAGCCATTATCATCGGGCCCCAGTGAGCAAGGCCAGCCTGAGCTCCTGCCTGATTGGGACAGGTGGGGCAGAGCAGGGGGCTGCATGATGAATGAGCTGCACCCCAGACCTGTGGGCACCTGGGCCAGGTATGAGCCCACTCCAGCACTTCCCCTCCAATGTCCTGGCCTCTCCAGGTAGAGTCCATACCAGTCTCTCCTTCCTTCCCTACCCAAGGCATCCAGTGTGCCCTGGGCACATGGCCCATAGCCCTTGCCACAGCCCAGCTTTCACATATCTCTCCAGTTGACCCATTGAATAGTCTTAGACTTGTCAGACCCTGTGTGCAAATTTTCAGCCAAGAGCTAATCACTGAGAACACAGCAGACGTTTGACAAATATTTGTGTGTTGAATATTCCTGAGACCTTGGGGGTCTCCAGGAAACTGGCTCTTTCACAGGAGTTAGACTCTGGCTCTGCTGGAAAATTCAGAGGCAAGGAAAGTGGGCCCTCAGAGGGCGCATTGGATGCTGCTTTAGGCATCTGCAGAAATTGGAGGTTGCGTGCAAGAGCACCCAAGCAGCCAGCCTGCTCCCTCCCTCCCTGACTTCCTTCCTTCCTCCCATCAAACAATGACTGTGCACTTCCTGTGTTTTGGGCGTGTGCTAATTGGTTATGGGATTAGTCCTAGCTGTGTCCTGGGTAAATGGAACCCAGCTCTGCGTCCTTGGGGAAAAGGGGCAGGAAGGGACCAGGGCCCAGCCTAGAGCTTAAGGACATAGACTGTTGGTTCATCTCGGAATGGCTGTCTCCCTTCACTTGCCCTCGGCCGCTTGGCACCCGGGCACAGTGCCTGGCAGAACAAGAGCTGAGTCTGTGTAGAAGGAAAGAGGGAAAAAAAAAAGAAGGAGAAGAAGAAGGGACCCAGGCCATGCCTCCCCAGGCAGCCTGTGAGCACAGTGAGTTCCTGCTCTGTGGGTTCGTGAACTGGGTGTTCAGTTACAGCGAGCTACTAAACGCTTCTGTCTGTAGATGGGTTCGTGCGTTGCTCCCAATATTCCCTGCAGAATCTGTGGCTTATGGTGTCTGATTCCAAGGACAAAAATGGCAAGGGCAACTTTTTGGAGCTTCCCATTCTCCTAACTGTAAACACACTCTGTAATGAAGCTCAAGAGTGTAATTGCTGGGGCCACCAAGGGGCAGCTGGCACCCATTCCTCTGCCTAGTGCTGCTGCAGGGCTGATGCTGTTGTAATGAGAGTGACTTACTGTTTCTGTTTCTTCCCAAAGACATAGACATGAGTCAAGGAGCACATGAGAGGTTCCCTGGAGACTTCTGAGTTTATAAAAACAAGGAAGAGTTTTTGGACTGGTGAGCAGAGCCTAAGTGGATACTGTGAGGCACCTGGCTGGAGCCTGACTCCCTGAGCTCTGCTGGGGCTGGGGTCTCCAGCAGCTGAGTTGGGGACAGCACATTCACAAGGTGGCCCTTACCCTGAGGACAGAGCCATTTGTTAGCATGTACAACACCCCCAGGCCACCCCAGGCTGTGTGTGTGTCTTAAAGACTCCTCTTAAGTCTAGATGTTTCTTCCCATAGATGGCTTCTACTGTATCTCATTCATTTAGAGCACATGAATTCAAAATTTGGAAACAGTTCATTTAGGGCCCGGAACCTGAGAGTTTATCCATCACTTGGGAAGAGACCTGGCAGAAATTTAGCTTTCTACCATTGACTAGGAAGAGAGCCAAGCAGTGGCTGCATCAGAACGAGAGGTTATTCATTTCTAGGGAGATGGGCAGCCTTAGAGGGAGGGTCCCTTGGGGACAGACACCAAGGCATGTTTTAGAGCAATACATGTTTGCCGTCCAGCATGGATTTTGCAGAGGAGGGAGGTAAGCACTGTTGGGGTGTGTGACTTACCCCATCATCCAGGCCTCCAGCCATTCTGAAAATGGCAGCTGGGCTGTAACAGAGTTCTAATCTGTTCATTCCAGAGGTTACTCGTTCTGCTCCTTACCTTCATTGTTTGGGGTATTTTTTTATTCAGTCTTTATAAATTTGAGCTGCCCTTTAAGTAATTAGTCTGAATTTCTAGTGTTTGATGGTTATTTTTTTCTTCTTTCCCTAATTGCCCCTCCTCCCCATACTCTACATTTGTTAATCGATCCATTTGTTCCATGTTGTTCTTTCCTATTCTAGACTGTTCCATATTGTTCTGTACTGTTCACTGTTGTTCTATTCTGTGAGTCTACTAATTGCCCATCAAGTTACCTCGTGAAGTAATAGGCTCAGAGTGCAGCAGGAATGAGGAACCTGCTGGTGGTGGTCTCCCCAAAAGCCTGTGCCTATGAGTTCTTGAAGCCAAACTACCCAGAGGACCTCCTGCACCCCAGGAGATCCTGAGCCCAGCCCTGTCCACCTCAGCCAGCCATACTGCACTTTTCCACTCCCTCTTGCCTCCAACAACTGAGTATTCCTCCAGTATCCCCTTCCCTTCTTCACTGGCAGACACTTTTCAGCCCGTCCAAGCATAGCGTCAGCGTCACTCTGGTGCCACCTGCCCGGGCCCAGCAGAGCTCAGGCTCAGCGTGCAAGGTTATGGTGGTGGCTTTGGACAGCATCAGGCCGTCTGCTCACCTCTGGGTCCACTCCTGTGCATATAGCAGTGGAGTAAATGAATGAACACACAGAAAACGTGGCCCATGTCATTTTCTCTAAGAACAGAAAACTCCAGACATGAAATCTCAATCATTCCAGACCTGGAAGAATGGGAAGGTCTCACCTGGAGCAGCTCTCTCCTGGTTGGGCTTCTGTCCCACAGGGAACCAGAAAGGACTGAGGCCTTTGACAGTCAGTGGTGGGTGGCGTGGGGGTGTCTGGGCACGAGGTCTGTGCAGAGTAGAAGTGTGTGTGTGGCAGTGTGCTCGTGTCTATGTGTGGTGCGCATATGGCGTGTGGTACAGGGTGAGCGTGGTGTGGAAGGTGGGTGGTGTACATGTGTCTGTGGGGGGGGTTGTGTATCTGGTACAAGGTGTGGGTGGAAGGGTGTACATGTCTGTTTCTGAGGTATGGGGTGAATATGGTGTAGGAGGTGCGCATGTGCACGCATGTGAAATCTTCCTGGCGCAGTTGGTCAAGTTCAGATCTGACTTGATTGCTCCTTAGTGTGCTGCAGTGCTCTGGGCGAGCTCAAACCAGGCCCCTTCAGCGTCTGAAGAGCCCGTCCTTCACCCTCCTATGAAATGGGCCCAAACTGGGCAGCAGCCACAGACTCCCCAGGGCCATCCTGCCATGACAGAAGGGACCTTCGTCCTCCTGAGGTTTCCTGCCCCATGTGCAGCAAGCACGTGGTCCTCAGGCCACTGTGCTAGACATGTGCCTTGGCAATACAAGTGGCTTTAGGCCCAACCCTGCATGGCTACGTCTCTTTCTTTCCCCTCATTTCCTTTGTGAAACACAGGAGCTAGAATGTTACTGACCCCACCCAGGGAGATATGGCTGGGTCACTGTGACCTCAGGGGCTGTCCTAGGCATGAGGACTGGGTGCTGGGTCTGCCCAGAAGTGCAGGACCAGCTCTGTGCCCAGGCCGCATCCTGCAGTGTCCTGCCTGACTCTGCTCTACGTCGTGGTGTGCCGACATGTCTTTCCTCAGAAAAGCTGTGCTAACACCTCCGTGTATTGTCTGATGGATTCAGTTTGTCACAGTCCTGCACAGATTTCCTTTCTCTTTATCCTCAGTGTAAGATCAACAGGGAGGGGCCTTTATGCCCACTTTACAGCCAGGGAAACTGAAGCCAGAAAAGACAGCCAAGAGCATGTGGCTAGAGAAGGCTGGGTGGGCTACAGCAGGGGGTGGAGAGGGTGGTGCCACGATGCACCATTTGCCACAGGCCTGCCACCCAGCAGCCTGACCACAAACCCATTTTACAGAAGCCTGGATTGGGGCGGTGACACCGAGAGCTCCAGCACAGCCCTGCTGACTGCAGGCTCAGCTTAGCACCCCAGGCTCGCTGCCTATGCTTCCCAGTGTGGTGGGTACTGGCTGCTGGCCAGGGCGGGCTGAGTCACTATCGCCACGGAACCTGCCTGCAGTGGCAGTTTCAGTCCTTTGTCCTCGGGGGAAAGGCTGTTTGCTCACATCCTGGCCAGGAGCACCACAGTGGAATTGAGACTGAACTGTCTTCTGACGCACAGATCTTCCCACCTGGGCAGGGGCCAGCATGTGAGTCATTCTGCAGCTGGGCATCAGAGCCCGGGGAATCCGCTCCAGTGCCTGGGGCCAGCCTGCCAAACCACACGCCTGGAACTGCCAGGCCAGGTGGGTGCCGCAGATGTCGGGGCTTCTGTCTGGAGGGGACAGGCCTCTGTCCTCAGTCTCCAGCCTGCTGTGGCCTCATGTTTCCTCTAGAGCTGTCCCCAGGGTGGATACAGTGTCTCTGGGAACAAGAATTTGGGTGATTCAGGTGTTTATTTGATTCATCGTGTGAGCTTTTCCTGTATAATGGAACAGCCGTCAGCTGATCGGTTCACGGGAGTGTTTATATGGAGCTGGCCATTGGGTGGGGAAATGACAGAACCCACACTCCCCAGGCCATCTCCTCCTTGCCATCACACTGGACATTCATTCATTCCCGTGGCTGGGCCAGGCCTCTGTTTCTGTGGGGACACTGTCCCCTTCTTGCTGGGTGGGTGTTGAGCACTTCAGGACACTGTCCTCTCTTTGCCACGCACCCTAGCACAACACTTGCTGTTCCCAGTGCCCCCACCCAGAACTCCAGTTCAGACCCCACTTGGGTCACATGCTGGCTGACTCCACAGAGTGGCAGAGGCCTGTTCCACTGAACACCAAGCTCCTGGGTCCACAGAAGGTTCAGTGCATATGAGCCCTGTCTGGGGGTGTGCAGGAGTGGGGTGCACCGTGGCACCACGAAGAGCCTGCGGGTCCCGTTCATTAGGTGTTCCTGTGCCCAGTCAAGCAAGTGCTAGGAAATGGCTGAGGCGAGTGAGGGGCAGGTCCGAGGCTTCACTCACCCCAGCCTGGTGTTTCTGGGGTTGGCCACTAAAAGCCCCATATTCACCTTCAAAGCCAGATCTGGATGGGCAGAGGAAGACTCGGGCTCTGGCCAGGACTCTGCACACACACCTGGATTCCCACAGGCTCCCCTAGGTCCACTCCGTGCCTTCCTTGTGTCCCCTGCCTCCACCTCGGTGGGAACTTGGATTTGCTTAAAGAAAACCTAGGTCTTTTTTTTTTGGTCCACTTTCTGAATCTCCTTTCCTGTTTGTTAGTGGGCTGTGCAGGGGAAAAGACCATTGTCACCAGGGGCATATCCCCCCTCTATCTCTCCTGTCCTTCCCCCAAGGCTCCTGTGTACCTACTCACTGACCTGCCCTTCCTTCCCAAAAGCACTGTGATGAGGTGGGAGAAACAGGAAGCCACCCTCCCCCATAGAGCTGGGGTGCACCCCATGGTGGGGGGGACATCAGCACTATTTTTTCTGACACACCCCACAGCATGACCTCTGTGGCAGCTGTCCCTGGGCCAGCAAATGAGAGTTTGTGCAGGAGCAGGGCTGAATGTGCCTTCTTGCAGCTTCACTTCTGAGCATGACAGCACTTTACTGTCCTCATCCCTGACGTGCCTGGGAAAAGTCCATTTGCTGTCCTGTGTTCATTCCCACTGCATTGTACTGGCCCTTGGAGTTGCATGGTTCACAATGGTGAGCTATGGAGAACAGACAGATATTAAATACTTAAGTACAGTGCCTGCCAGTAGGAAGTGCTATGGAGACAGGGAGAGGGGCCTGAGCATGGAGGTGAATTGATGGGGTCCTAGAGAGCCTGTTGAGGAGGCTGAGGGAGTGAGCCTTGGAGATTCCAAGAGGAAGGAAGGGCAGCACGGTGGAGAAACTGCATGTGCAAAGGCCCTGGGGATGGAACCTGCTTAGGTTCCTAGTGTGAATGAGATACCTTCTTCTCACAAGTAGTTCACAGTCTAATGAGGGGAAAAAACAAACAAACAATATTCTAAAAATTGAGGTCTGGGAGCATGGCTCAAGTGGTAGAGTGTCTGCCTCGCAAGTGAGAGGTCATGAGTTCAAACCTCAGGAACCACAAAAAAAAAAAAAAAAAGATGAGTGGAAAGTGGTGTTGGAATGCAAAGAACAACTGTAGCAGGTCTGGTTAGAAAGTGTGTCCCTATGGAGTGACATTTGCCTTGGGCTTTGGTGGATGACAGGTTCACTGGGTGATTGCAAGCCAGCCCGACATGAATGAAACCTGTATTTGCAAAGGCACAGGCATGCAGGGAGAGCCACCCTCATGTCCTTCTTCCTGTTGCAGTGACAGTTTCTGCCAGGGAAAGAGCACTCTCTTGGGGATTGCCTTTCTCTTCACTTCTTCCTGTTCCTCACCCTCACTTAGGGCATGTCAGCTGTGGAGAGTGGAAGAGGAGGGACAGACAGAGACAGGGTGGCGTGAGGTGGGGATTCTGTGCCATGCATGGATGTCTCCCTCTTTCTTCTATTTTTTGAGGCTTTGAGGGGCACGGGGGCTCTGTTGCTAAGGATGGGCACAGATTCAGAAAGGTTTCACAATAGCAAGTCCTAGCCTGAGCCGGTCCAGCTGTGATACAACGGGTTGCAGAAAGACATGCAGCGTGGCTCATCCAAGGGCTGAGTGTGGACCTAGGTGCCCTGTAACCATTTGACCTCCCTTTCCCCAGGTCTGACAGGGCGTTGGTCGTTCTCTCAGAAGATGTGGCGGCAGGAGGGGGACACACCTCTTTGCACACCTTTAGGTCCATAGCAGCTGGCCTCTAGCTGGCCCAAGTTAACCCTGCAGCTGGAAACAGAAACTTGTAGGAAATGCAAACACTTTCCAGGGCACTAAGGAATGAAACAAGCAAAAGACACCCCAGGAACTTGAAATGAACTTGAAAAGAGACCCTGTCTGGTGGCCCCAGACCCTATGTCTCTGGTCTCATCCACTTAATACTACCTCTGTCCAGCACTCTCCACTGGAAATAGAATGGCGGGCACATTGAAAAAGTAAAAAGCAACAAATGTGATTAATGTTAACTTGTTTGCTTTAACCTACTGTGTCCCAAATGGAGTTGTCATTTCACATGTAACTGAGGTAGAAAATTATTCATGAGGTTATCTGTTATTTTTTTCTATATTAACTCATCAAAATCCAGTGTGCATTTTACGCACGGGCAAATTATGACTTCAGACTGGCCATCTTTTAAGTCCTCAGCAGTCACATGTGGCTGGTGGGTATTATATGAGACAAAGCAAAGTAGTTTATAGATGGAGAAAGGTTTCGTGGGGGTATCGTGGGGGGTGGCAGCAGAGTGAGGTGAAGGTGTGATGGGGCAAGAGCTCCGTGTTCATTCAGGCCAGGGGAGCCTGTCCGTCTGCGCCCTCTAGTGTCCACCCAGCCACACTGCAACCTGCTTGGCCCCAGGTGCCTCTACCCTCTGCTACACCGGGTTCCTGGCAGCTGCACAGCCCCCTGGGACAGTACTGGTACCTCCTCAGAGAACTGTATGGGGGCCAAGGCTAAAGGTGATTTGACTCTCACCTGCTTTTTTGGAGGAAAGAAGGACACAAGCCCAAGTTTTGGAAAAATGCAGTCAGCCCCAAGCAAGACAGGGACTCAGCCCAGGAGGAACATGTGTCTGTGGGTCACCCAGAGAAGGAGCTGGGACTGAGCAGGAAAGCACAGAGTCTGCTGTCTTCTGCCTGCTACTTCTTCCTCCATCTTCTTTGCCATCTCCCTGATTCTTCACAGTTCAAATTCTCAGTGAACATGACTCCAGCCTCCTCTCCAGCCCTGGCCTTCACCTGGTGTCCCCATCTCTCCCATCACCTCCCCTCTAAATGTCTAAGTCCAGGGGCCCTGGTGGCTGTGACTGATGGGATGTAATGCAATCCATGCCTTCAGCTGGCACTGAGCTGTGGTTAATGGGACATTGGCGTGCTCAGTTCCCAGGGGCCTCACTGAGCAGCCCATAGAACTGTTCCATTAACAAGGCTTTCATTTGCTGGCAGTATGCACTCTGGGTTAAATATTTTCATGAGCTTCCCAGCTATGTGTTTACTTTTTCTTCTCGTTACAATTTAGCACATTAAGAACAATAACAGAGGAACTAAGACCTAGAGAGGTGGTTGTAAGAGCCACATTAACTCCCTCCCCAGCTCCCATTACTGTACATCCCCACGTGGTCCTTGATCTGCTCAGAAGCCTGTTGCCTGACTGACGTGAGCCCTGGTGAAATATGAAGCACTTTAAGCTGAGTTCAAAATGGCTCTGCCCACCCTGGGGCCACTGCTCCTTACCCCACCATGTTTGAGGAGATGAAAGCCAGACTCTGATCAATGAAGCTTGGGTTCATCTGGCGACCTGCGCCTGGTGGCCATTTCTACTGGGAAGTGCGACCCCTGGCTTTCTGTCCCTGCTGAAAGTATTGCTTTTTAATCAGCCATCTTCCCAGCTGTGTGTCAGTGAGACTGGCTCATTTGCTTAATTAATAACACAGGAGTCACGGCAGCACGCAGAGCTCTCCCTGACCCCCTGTTCCTCGCTTCTGCTGCACAGGAGCCTCCAGGAGAGCTAACCTGAGTTCCTTTACATTAACTACTTTATCCTGGCCTTTGTTCAGCTCATGCAGCCTGTTCTGGTGAGTGACGGGGAACATGTGTGAGGATGAGGCAGCCACTTTGTGACCTTACCCACAGCAAGTTCATGGGTGAGGCAGCAGTGACGGATGCCGGCTGAGAACGTCTTGGTACCCCCATCACTACCCAGGATCTTGGCAGGGAAGGGGTCAGGGGAGATCACAAAACATGGGGAAGAGGCTAGCTCTCACCTTGGATGCATCCGGGCCACAGCCTGCTTTGCAACAAGCTATCACAGGCCCCTCCAAAGCCTTGATCCTTCACCCTGACATGGAATGGTACCAAGTCAAATGAGAACCCCCTCCCAGTCCTGAAGTCTCTGCCCAGTTCTCCCTGGCTGTAGCCTGTGAGGGCTAAGCCTCCAACAGCCTTTCAAATCTCTTAATTCTTCACTTTGGACCCCAAATGCCAACTTCCTAGGGAAACCACCTAGTCACCCACTCTGTGCCCAGACTGGTGCTGTGCTATGGTTTCCGTTTTTCTGGAGAGCCACTCTCCATGCTTTATGTGGGTGGATCCTGGCCAGCCTCATGCTTGCTCTGGCAGGGAAAGAAGGCTGGGGGCTCTGTTGGAAAGAGCAGACTTTCCCTTGACTCCCCCCTTTGCTGCTGGCTCTTCAGCCTGCTTCCTCTTGGCC